TTCACAAAGATCAGCCTGCCTCTGCCTCCCTAGTGCTGGAATTAACGGTGGAATGGTAACAGCGTGGGCTGCTGCCACAACAGACCAGTACTTACATTTTTGAAATTGCATCTGTGTGTAGTTCAGACTGGCCTTCTGATTGTGATTCTCCTGCTGGAGCCTACTAAGTGCTGGGAGTGCAGATTCACAGTTTTTTTTATGGTCATCATATGATGACATCATTAAAATTCTTTAGTTCCAATAAGCTTTGGCATCAAAATTGTTGGGAGCCTGTCCTCTAGTCATTAATCTCCTGGCACCAGAAAGGACCTCAAATTTCATAAAACCTTTCCAACTGAAGCCCAATATAATGTAGAGTTTATGCTTCAAAATTCTCATCACATTAAGTATTCAATTACATAAAAAGAGTACTGTAGCGTCCAGCTGGTGATAGGACTCCACGGGTAAAAGAGCTGTACAGCGTGACTGAGTTCCATCCCTGCAACCCATGTACAGGTGGAGAGAGCTCACTCCACAAGCTGTCATCTGATTTCCACCCACACTATAATTTTTCTTAAAGTGTTACATATTAAGTCTTATAAATACGAAAGACAGCCCGGCGGTGGTGGCGCACGCCTTTAATCCCAGCACTCGGGAGGCAGAGGCAGGCGGATCTCTGTGAGTTGGAGGCCAGCCTGGTCTACAAAGTGAGTTCCAGGACAGCCTCCAAAGCTACAGAGAAACCCTGTCTCGAAAAACCAATAAATAAATAAATAAATAAATAAATAAATAAATAAATAAATACGAAAGACTTAGATCATTATGGTCTCCAAGCAGCGAGTGCTGTACACATGCATTGTCGCATGTCTAAGTGACTGGCATCAGGACAGTACCTAATGTGTAGAGTCCTACTCTTTTTTTTTAAGCCCAGCATTTGTAATTGATTACATGAACCATCTGTAACTGCTTGTGAATCATGTTACAGTTACCCCACTGACATTTACCCAACATTTTTCACGTGGCAAAATGTTTAGTGTCGGAAAGCTGACACATAATAGCTTTGGTGATTCAATAAATCAACTTTAGAGACTGGGCTACAGGCGCATCCCATTGAGGTGGAGGTCTCTGCGGAATTACGGCTGATGATTTCATGATAATAACGCTTCATCCTAAGCTTCCTGCGTGTAGACAAAAGTATTTGTTATCACCAAGGTAACTTGACCCCACTGTTGTTAGGAGACAGGACGGAGGGGGGCGATGCGCGGTCAAAGGAGGTGAGGACAGAAGATGAAAAGCAACCTCTGGCAGGGGTAAGAGACAGTGTTTCGGGCAAGTGGTTCAGCAAGTACAGGCCGACCCGAGCCACCTGTCACAAAGGAGGGGCCCGAAGGGAACCGAGGTCTGCGGAGAGGGACGGCCAGGCCGACCGGAGGGAAGCTGCGAGGCCCAGGCTGGACCGGGAGGAGAGCTCACGTGGTCCCCTGAACACCGGGGGAGGGGAAGTGGGGGGCTGCGGTGGGGAGGACGCCAGCGCGCCTCTCCCCAGCCTCCCAGCTCCTCCCTCCGGGCACGTGACAGCCGCGTCCGCTCTGTCGGTGGCGCAGCGCTCTGTTTCTGCCCTCCCGCCGCGGCGCCCTTCTTCTCCCGGTCCCGTCCCGCCGCCTCCCCCACTCTCCCCCCCCCACGCGCCAATCACCGCTCGAGCTCGCCAGCGCCCGCCCCACCGCCCCGCTTCGCGCCCTCCCATTGGCTGGAGCCTCAAGGACGCGTCCCGAAGGCGGGCGGCAGCCATTGGTGGGCCGAGCCAGCCGAGTTCCCGGATGAGGGAACATTCTGCGGTATAAAGGGCGCGAGGAAGGCGGGAGACGGCGCAGTTTGAATCGCGGTACGACGGAGGAGTGGGCGCCGCGATCTCGCTGTGCGTCCGCCTGGCCTCGTCTCTCCCTCTGTTGTCCGATCTTCAGCACGGTCCGAGATGGTAACGTGAGAGTGACGGCGGGCGGCCGCGAGCCGCGGGCTGCGAGCGGGCGGGGCCGCCGTCCCCGGGGCTTGGGGCGAGGCGGCGGCGAGTGGGAGCGTGCGGAGACGGGGTCGGGACGAGCGGAGGGAGGCGTTTGGTGAGCTCGGAGCTCCGGGAGGGAGGCGACGGTTGGAGGGGGCGCGCGCGGCGCAGCTGGGAGCCGGCGCGGGGGCGCGCGGCGGCCGCGGGGGCGCGCGGCCGGGGTCGGCGGCGGGGGGGGGGGCGGCTGGCGGGGAGAGGGCGGGGGCGAGCGGCGGCCCGGAGACCCCGGCGGGCGGCGAGCGCGCGCTGGCCTCCGGGACGCGCGGCCGTGGGGGAGGGGCGCGCCGCCTTGGTAATTCTATCCTCTCCCGTCCCTCCCGGGCTCGCGGGCGTCGGCGGCGCCGCAGGCTGGCGGTAAGGCTGGAAAGGACTCCGGAAAGGCCAAGACAAAGGCGGTTTCCCGCTCTCAGCGAGCCGGCTTGCAGGTAGGCAGCTGCTGCTGCAGCCGCAGTCTCGGCCTTTATCTTTGCACCCCCCTTGCTTGTTTGTGGGCGCCTTGCATGGGTGTTCCATCTTTGCGTGGGTGATGTGTCGCGACTTGGCCTTCGGGGACTGAATATTGGGGCGCGGGGGGGGCGTCGATCGCGTGTGTTAGGGCGCCTTGGTGCGCCACCGTCCTTGGCTTTGGCGCGCACCTCATCATCTTACCGTCTTTGAAATCTCCTATCTTTGTTTGTGCGCATAAAAATCAAGTTCCCTGTGGGCCGTATTCATCGACACCTGAAATCTAGGACAACCAGCCACGGACGTGTGGGCGCGACCGCCGCTGTGTACAGCGCAGCCATCCTGGAGTACCTCACCGCAGAGGTAAGCAAGCGGGAGAATGTGTGCCTGTGATCTGGAAAAGGTTCGGGGGGGCGGGGGGAAAGTGATGCAAGAAAACTCCCAGGCCCTAAGCGCGGCGCGGAGGCAGAGAGCGCGCTAGAGGGAGCTAGTGTTCGACCAAGGATCCTGCTCAGCCAGAGTTTGCTGCGCTTTGCAAGAGCAATTGCGTGTCCCTTCCATTCTTTTGCATAATTTGCATAATTTTTGGCATCCAGGTAGTGGGCGATGACGACAGTTGGTAGATTAAACACCACTGAGTTTTAGCCAGCTTCGTGGATCTTGACTGAAGGGAAGTTGAAAGATTGATCCGAATTTTGCCTTTTAGGTACTAGAGTTGGCAGGAAATGCATCAAAAGACTTAAAGGTAAAGCGTATTACTCCTCGTCACTTGCAACTTGCTATTCGTGGGGATGAAGAATTGGACTCCCTGATCAAGGCTACAATTGCTGGTGGTGGTATGTTATCACTAAAATTCGATTACATTTCCAATAAGAAAATTCTCAAATTTTCATTGCTTCTAGAAGAAGGCATTTAAGTATATTTTATAAGTCATGGTGGTTTATGGGTTTATGAAGTTTGGTTTATACAATGTTACTCAGTTTTTACTTTGTTTGGACTCTTTTTTTTAAGACCTTTTAAGTTGTAGAATTACCTGCTTCTCAATGTTTCTACAAAAAGTAGAATTAATTCTTGTCACTCTCCTAGGTGTCATCCCACACATCCACAAGTCTCTGATTGGGAAGAAAGGACAACAGAAGACTGTCTAAGGATGCCTGGATTCCTTATTATCTCAGGACTCTAAATATTCTTAACAGCTGTCCAGTGTCGGTGATTCCAGTGGACTGTATCTCTGTGAAAAACACAATTTTGCCTTTTTGTAATTCTATTTGAGCAAGTTGGAGGCTTAATTAGCCTTCCAGCCAACCAAATTTCTGCATTCGAGTCTTAACCATATTTAAGTGTTACTGTGGCTTCAAAGAAGCTATTGATTCTGAAGTAGTGGGTTTTGATTGAGTTGACTGTTTTTAAAAAACTGTTTGGATTTTAATTGTGATGCAGAAGTTATAGTAACAAACATTTGGTTTTGTACAGACATTATTTCCACTCTGGTGGATAAGCTCAATAAAGGTCATATCCCAAACTAGTTTTAAACTTGCTTAATGAATGTGTGTGTCTCCTAGATCTCATTCAGCTCCAGTACATTCTTTGCTTACTAATTAAACTTCATCTGTAGATCAACAAGTCATAACCAATTTTGTTATAATGAATTAGGCATGCTGTTTGACAATTACAGTAACGTGAAAGGCACTATCACAATTTGGGACAGCTGGACCAGTAGAGACCCCCAGGATATAGCTAAATACCTCCACAGAGTGAACTTAAGATGCAGGAGTTAATCATATTCTCAGTGACCAGACACTGTTGTCAACTGAGACACTAGTCACTGGGATTTGTACTGTTTTCATAGACTAGAGTAACTTGATTAAAAACACTGATAAATATCAGGAATGTTCCTTAGAGCTTGAAAAAACGTCAACATTGCTATGCATTCGTCCTTTTACCCCTTACTGAGACAACATGCATGCTACTTCCTGAGACTAACCGTGAGAGCAGGAGGAGGTATTAACTGTAGCCTATGTAGGTGAAAACTGCTTCCTGCCAAAGAGTTAAGCTGACTTAACCAAAAGAGCTGGGCAGCAGTGCCTCTGCAAAGGGCAGTGAAGTGGGGTGGGTGGGTGGGGGGTCCACAGCTCTAAATCGCCTGCAGGACCCATGCCGTAATATTACTCTTAACAGGCCTGAGGCCTCTCAAACCTAGGGCCCAGAGGCGGGGCCTCGGGTCTCGAACTGAAAAGTGCAGGCACCCTGTCCCCGCCCCGATGGCGCGGAAGGCGGGCTCCAGGGCCCGCCTGAGGTTGGGGGCCGATCCCCCCGGGCTACCCGCTCTGGCCGGGGCCGGGAGTGCGGCAGGCCCGGGAGGGACGCGGCTGGCGCCGCTGCGGCCGTGGGGGGGCGGGGAGGCGGCCGTGAGGAGGCGGAGCTGCGAGGCCGCCCATCGCCGGGCCGCCGCCGCCGCGGTGCCCGCTCCTCCCCGCGCCGCGCCGCGCCGCGCCGCGCCCCGCCCGCCTGCCCGCCCGCCCGGCCGCCTCGCCTCCTCCGCGGCCGGCCCCCCTCGCAGCTGCGCGGCCGCCGACACCGAGGCAGGTGCGAGCCATGGAGGGCAACCGCGACGAGGCGGAGAAATGCGTGCAGATCGCTCGCGAGGCCCTGAGCGCCGGCAACCGCGACAAGGCCCAGCGCTTCCTGCAGAAGGCCGAGAAGCTGTACCCGCTGCCGGCCGCGCGCGGTGAGCCCCGGCCCCCGCCGTGACCCCGGCCCCCGCGCCCTCCGCCCCGCGGGCCGCGGCCGCTCCAGCCCTCGGGGACACCGGCGGGCGCTGTGGGGTGCTGGGTGACCGGGCCCCTCCCCAGATCAGCCTAGGCCCCGGTGAAGTGACAGGAGCGGGACTCCCGTGTCTTATCGGGCTTCACCATCCCTGGGCTCTGTATGTAGCTGTTCTAAGTATTTTCCAATACCTTAGATGACACTGCTTTTCCCAGGGAGATGGGGAGAGTCCCTCTACAAGACAGCTCCACTTTTGACAGGGATGGCGAAGTTATTAATGATTTCTAGTGTCTGATCTGATATGGCACCGTAAGTACCCGCAAGTTGGGCAAATCGCTAAAGAGTAGGGCATGGACTTACCCTACTTTAATTCACCTTATTCATCGTCTAACTCTCTAGGCTTCGAGGTAATACAGTCAACACAACACTCACAAAGCGCCAACAGTGTGCCTAGTATTTTGTATGACCCTCGTTTATTCCTCATAACAGTCCCAGGATAACCCATGTGCAGAAACTTTGGCGAATGAATGGATGGATGACTGAATGAATGAGTGAATAAAAATATCTTGCCCAAGGTCGTACGTACAGTAAGTGGCAAAGTCAGAACAGAAGCTGAGTTTTCTCTCCAAACGGCCTTTAACTACTACCGTTTTGCCTTGCCGATGGAATGACATTTTACTGTGGTTTAAAGTATTTCCAGGTGAAGAGAAATAAGAGGAAACTCAATAAGCAGGGCGTCTGTTTGACTTTATTGTTTCCTTAATTCTCTTTTACACCGTTTAAATCGTTTGTTTCTGCTGTCTTTCACTTTATCTTTTTGTTACATTGGATTAGGACAGGAAAAGATAGTAAAAGAAAAGTGAATTTTAATTATAAAAAGTGCAACGTGAGATTTATTATTCTAGTCATGTTTAGGTGTTCGGTTTCATAGTGTTACGTATTTTCACATCGTGCACCATAGGATCTGTACATTTTATCTTGCACCCTCGAGCAGTCAAATGGTCCCCTCTACCCTCACTTGGCAGCCCTGATCTTACTGTCACTTTTCATAGATCAGACTGATTAGGGACCTGGTCTAAGAGGAATCATACAGAATGCAACTCTGTGTGACAGCCTATTTCACTTAATAACTTCAAATTTCATCCATATTGCAACATTAGCCAGATTTCCTTTTAATTTTAATTTTTTTTTTTTTTTTGGTTTTTCAAGACAGGGTTTCTCTGTGTAAATAGCCTTGAGTGTCCTGGAACCCACCAGGCTGGTCTCGAACTCACAGAAGATCCACCTGCCTCTGCCTCCCGAGTGCTGGGTTTAAAGGCGTGTGCCACCACCGCCTGGCCAGATTTCCTTTTTAAAAAATCCTAGATAACATTCTGTTATTTATGCACACACGTATATTGGTGAGAGTGTGCACATGCATACTCAAACATCACACTTTCTTTGGGGGGTGCTTATGTGTGGGTGCTGGGGTGTGCCATAACACCTTCGTGAAGATGAGAAGACAGCTTGTGGGGGAAGGTTCTCTCCTCACGCAGCGCAGGGTCTGCACACAGGTCTGCTGGACTCTCACTAGCCGTCCCAGGTGGGCCCTTGGGTTCCGTCCACCTCCTGTCTGTAGTGAAACGGCTCCCATGAGCATGAGTGTCTGCAGGCCTGCTTTCAGTTCTGCATTTATACCCAGAAGTAGGATTAGTGGGTCAGAGTCATTCTAATTTTGAATTTTGAGGAACCCCACATTGGTTTCCAGAGTAGTTGCACCATTTTGCGCAACATATACAGGGTGCAGTTTCCCAGTGTCCCGTCACAACACGGCACCCCCAGTTTCTGTTTGTTTTGATAGGGGCTAGTCTAGTGACTGTCAGGTGATGCCTCCCTGCAGTGCTGATTGCATCTCCCTGATGATTGAGGGTGTTGAACAGTTTCCTTGTGCTTATTTGACTATTTGCATATTCTTGGGAGGCAGGCTGTTTTTTATTGTGGATATTTGGGACATCAACTCCTTGGCATTTCTAGCTTGCCGATGTTCGCTTTCTGTCTGTGGATCATTTCTGTGTCAGTTTCAAGTTTTGCTATGCTGCCTGGGCTTTTGGTGCACCCCTTCTGCCATGTTATATATGTTCCAATTAGGCATCACCTAGCCCTGGAGGAGCAATTTGAACATTGAAGGAGTTGACACTCGGCAAGGTAGCCTGGTTTTGCAGGCCTGGTTCTTTACCAGCTGGCTTGCAACTGTAGTCAAGGTGGACTTGACTTTTTCATTTGTGCAACAGGAACAGTGAACTGATCCCAGGATACTCTGAGGACAGACGGTGCTGTTGTAAAGCATCTAATACATTTTTACTACTCGCTCTATCTTAAGTGAAATCATCTAAGAATCCTTAAAACTAGCCCAAATTTACAACCTTCTATCATGCTTCTATCAGGTAAACATCTAGAATGAATCTCTGAATCTCCTAAAGTACACTGTAAAAGTTTAGCATCATTATTGCTCTGAAAGTCATAGATATAGGAAAAATGAAGAAATGGAAGAGAGAAAGTCAGGTACAATGGTGTTACAGGGATGGTGGGTAGTTAATTATCAAATAAAGTGGTAGGGTATAATTGTGGAGCAGTCTAAAAACAGTTCAAATGCAGACTTTGCCTGTCTCTATAACCAGGGACAAGATATTCTAAGCTTTAATTATATGCAAAATGAAGATGTCATCACAGAGTTGATATGACCCAAAATAAAGCAGTGTGACTGTTCTGTGAAAAATGTCTTTTACATAGAGTATTCCCAGGAAATGTTTATGGGAATTAAATAAGAACTCAGGAAATAGAAACATCTGGAATGTTCATGAAAGACTCTGATAAAGGTTTTGTATAGGGGGAAATCGGAGCTTTTGGGTGATGGTTCCCAAGCGACCAGCTCAGAAAGCTGACTGGATAATCTTTTAGATATGCTTGTAGAACGACAAAAAACAAACAAAAAAAACCTGTGATTTTGTTTCCTTTATTCTTATGATGAATGGGGAACCACAAGATTAAATTCTAGTTATAAGAAATATAAGAGGATTTTCGTCCTCTTAGAATTTCCTATCAAGTAAGGAGGTAATCTGATAATACACGTTAATAAAGTGGCAAGCTCTTTCCTTGAAGACAAGTTTAACACTGACATGGATGAAGGACACTATTGCTTCCTATGTTTTAGTTGAGACTGTTCCTTTCAGCATAGTTACTGACTAGCACAAATTTCAAATGCTCACACTCAGAGTTACATTGGTATGTTTACTTAACTGGTATGGTTTAGTGTTTGGTAGAAGGATACAGTATCACTGTTTTGAGACTTTGTGCACATTGTTTTTAGTTGTTGTTTTAATTTATTCTTATTTTATGTGTGTGTTTTGACTGCATGGGCCCATGGAGGTCAGAAGAGGTCATGGGATGCCTTAGGACTGAATTAAGCTATGGTTGTGAGTGGGTGCTGAAACCAAATCCAAATCCAGGCCCTTTGCAAAAGCAGCAAGTGCACTTAACCATTGAGCCATCCTTCCAGCCCCACACATTGTTGTTTTAATCTTAGATTTTCATAGTAATTGGGGATAGTTCGAAGTGTAGCTTTTTTTTTTCCTTTTCTGTTCTCCTTTTCTTCTCCTTCTCCCCTTCTTTTTTTTTTTTAAGATTTTGTTTATGTATGTATTAAGTATACAGTATTCTTCCTGCATGTCTGCTACAGGTCAGAGGAGGGCACCAGATGTCATTATGGATGGTTGTGAGCCACCATATGGTTGCTGGGAATTGAACTCAGGACCTCTGGAAGATCAGCCAGTGCTCTTAACCTCTCAGCCATCTCTCCAGCCCCCCTTCCTTCCTTTTTAGTGAGACAGATCTCACTATGTATCTTTAGCTAGCCTGGAACTCATTATAAAAGCTTGAACTCACAGAGATCCACCTGCTACTGCCTCCCAAATACTGAGATTAAAGATGTCTATGCCCAGCTATGTCTGGCAAGTAGAGAAGAACATTTTTCTTTTCTTCCTCCCTCCCTCCCTCCCTCCCTCCCTCCCTCCCTTCCTTTCTTTCTTTTTGTTTTGTTTTCTGAGACAGGGTTTCTCTGTATTGTTTGGAGGCTGTCCTGGAACTCACTCTGTAGACCAGACTGGTCTTGACTCACAGAGATCCGCCTGCCTCTGCCTCCCGAGTGCTGGGATTAAAGCCATGCACCGCCAATGCCCTGCTCATTTTTATTCTTTTCAAGAACATGGTAGCAATTTGAATTCAATGATGGCATACAACCACAGAAAAGCTGTTTAGTATCTGCTGTAATGAATGAACAGATAAGTTTAAGTGCATAAATAATCTGTATATGCTCCCGGCTTAATAACAGTTAAAGTAATCCTTTTAGTTTATTTCCATCCATGTGAGAGATGAAGCATATTTTATTTTATTTTTTGCTTTTTTGTTCTGTTACTTTATATTTAACACAAAATTGAAAATTGTTCTTCCTTTGGCCTCATCTGATAAGTTTTTAAAACATCATGTGTATCGGAATCACTTTATATTCTATTCCTTTAAGATCATTCCATTCTTTTCCTAATTGGTTTATTTAAAAATTCAGTAAAGAGCACACTTAAAACAATTATTTCTGTATTGTCCAGTTATGTGTCAGAAAATGACTTCCAATTTTCCATTAGTAGTGAGGAAAAAGCATTGAGTTGAGTTTGGGTTTGGACTTGTGCCTTAAGTATGTATAGATCTCCACTCCTGAGCTGCAGTTCTCTCGTCTAAACAATGAGTTTATTTATTCAACACATATGTATCGGATACATACGTCTCTGTGCCGTGCAGCATTTTGTTTTATGTTTTTCCTGCATATGTGTGTGTGTGTGTGTGTGTGTGTGTGTGTGTGTGCGTGCACCATGAGTGTGCCTGGTACTCTCAGTGTTGGGAGGAGGACATTGGATCCCCTTGAACTGCAGTTAT